TCTAGAGACAGTGCATGTCCTTAGTCACATGTTCAATGTGTTTCCTGTCAAGCCCTGTGTTGGGCACACTGTGAAGAGGAGAATGAACTCTCCGCTGTGCCCTCCAGGAGATTTTGATCTCACACTTTGTGTGCAAGTGTGCACTGAAGCATACACACTCACTCACAAGCGTGCACACTCAGCTCTTCCACGCTCCTGCATTTTCTCCGCAGGCACCATTAGTGTCTCAGTGCACAGCCAGCCTGAGGAGCTCAGACCCAGCAAATCAACCTCTCCAGTGCCCCAGGCCACAGCGCCTGGGACCCCCAAGCACAGCACTGAAAAGCTGCGGGGGAGTGTGGCAGGGAAAGGTCTGTGCATGGAGGAGGGCCTGGGCTCTTCCACCACACCGGCCACGTCTGGTAGGGCTTCCTGGAGGTGCTTTGGACTGAAAAGGCACTGGAAGATGGGTGGCCTCTAGGCCTCCAAAGAGTAGCGATATCTGTGGTTGATCCTTGTGTAGGAAGGTGGGAAGGGTGAGTTAGACGACCCTCCCCTAGTCCTTCCTGGGTTCAGAGACAGGAAAGGGATGTTGTGGCCGGGCGGCTGGTGGCACACTCCTTTAATCCCAGCACTCATGAGGCAGAGCCAGGCGGATCTCTGTGAGTTCAAGGCCAGCCTGGTCTACAGAGCAAGATCCAGGACAGGCACCAAAGCTACACAGAGAAACCCTGTCTTGAAAAACAAAAGAAGAAGGAGAAGAAGAAGAAGAAGAAGAAGAAGAAGAAGAAGAAGAAGAAGAAGAAGAAGAAGAAGAAGGAGAAGAAGAAGAAGAAGAAGAAGAACCTATTGTGTGCTGTGAGCTTGCTCGTATTATCTTATGAATCTGTGGGACCTGTTGGTAGCAATGGCAGTCCATATGGCTACAGATGAGAAAACCAAGGCTCTGAGAAAGGCCACCACTCACCGGGCCGGTCAGCAGCAGGCTGGAGGCAAAGCTGGAGCTGGTGTACGCTGCTCCTGACTTCACACCCATCATCCTTTCCGATGTGTGATTTTAGGTCTTTTTCCAAATGGTAGAACTGAGACTCAGGGAGAACTGCAGGGCAAAGACTGGTGTCGGAGACCCAGCCAGTGGCCCCTCCCCTTGCTCCCCATCCTCTGCCGGGGGTATTGTGAGATGACTGATGGACCTCCCTGAGGCTGCTGGAAGACAGATCAGCACTCATGAGTTCAGTGGACCCGGGCCCACCTTGGTGTCTTCACTTGGAGTGTGCAAAGGCATCTGCACATGCATGCTGAGAACCTGCAGCAGGGGCAGTAGGGTAGGCGCCCTATAAAGAGAGCGCCATGCCCCCACCCCCAGCCGGGGGTCTTGAGCTATCTTCTGGGCTGAGCCAGGGCCCTATAAAGAGAGCGCCATGCCCCCACCCCCAGCCGGGGATCTTGAGCTGTCTTCTGGGGCTGAGCCAGGGTGTAGCCCTGCCCAGCTCCACAGCTGAGCTCTTAGCTCCTCCCTCTCTGGGCTGATTGGCAGTCTGACCCCATACGTAGTCCCTGGGGAACAGCTACTGGTCCCCAATGTGAGGGCTATGTCACACTTCACAGAACATTGATGACATCAATGCTGGACTCCACTCCCTCCTCCCCACCCCTCATTGGGAGTGGGAAGGAGGTCTAAGGGAAAATATCCAGGGTGCTGGGCCATGATACCATCCCTGGGGTTGGGGAGTGGGAGAAGCAGGAAGATCATGAGTTCAAGGTCATCCTCAGGAACTTAGTGAGTTTGAGGCTAACCTGGGCTACCTGAGACCATATCTCAAAATAAAAAATAAAAAAAGAAAGAAAGAAGGAAAGTAAAACATCAAGGGATCTTAGACCTTGTACATCACAGAGCCCCAGGATACAGAGAGGAAAGGAGGGCACCGTGGCCAGGGGCTTGGGTCATTGCCAACATGTGTTCATTTCATCTTCTTTCCTTTAGTCACTTAATTTTTGTGTGTATTGGTATTTGGCCCGAATGTATGTCTGTGTGAGGGAGTTGGATCCATTGGAACTGGAGTTACAGTTATGGCCTGCCATGTGGGTGCTGGCAATTGAGCCTCAGTCCTTGGGAGGAGCAGCTCTTAACCACTGAGCCATCTCTCCAGACCCGAGTGTTTGTGTAATCTTTACTGTGCCAAGTAAAGAGGCTTGAATGTCTCAGATGGGGAATCAGGACTCAGAAGGGCAAAATGAACCCACCATAGCTCCAACACCAAGCTTAGCTTCCACACTGAGTCACGTGACCGAGATCACATCTGTCTGTGTGCACTGTCTCCTCATCCGAGACATGCAATAGCCATTTTTACGAGACTCTGACGGACACCATTGAAGATGATTCTCCCACAGTCTCATCTCTTCTATCACGCTGCTCTCAAGTGTTTGCTGATCAAATAAGCAGATGCCGAGTCAAATGGGAAGTGGACAGAGGCACCCTAAGAGAGGTCCTACCCCTCTTTTCCCACTGTATCTCCCCAAGGAAAGGTGATAGAAGAGTACATACAAACAGAAACAGATCCCCTCATCCTAGGAGCTGCCAATGATTCAGGGCCGACATCTGAGATAATTTTATTGGGGGCATTAAACTGAGTTATGAGGTTTTTACAATCCAGCCACTTATGAGAAATCTATTAACAGTAACTGGACAGGAAGAAGGAGCCCAGGACGGGCATTAATTGGGGCAATCTATAACAGGACGGGGACCCGGAAAGGTTCCACCAGACGCCTCCATTTACTCCCGGCAATTTCTGCTGAGAATCAGCAGAGTCGCCAAAAAGAGAGAGATGCCCATTAATCGGCTAATGAAATATGAAAATGTTTATGGGCCATTCAATCTTCCAAATGGCACTTCTATGATCCACCTTTCAGACACGAAGTTCTACCACAGAATTTACACCCCGGCTCCTCCTGCGTGGCTGGGTGGGCCCTCCTCTTGATGAGTTTTCTGGCACCTGTTCTGAGGATGAGGGGGCTGAAGTCTGCCACAGCTGGGCCTCAAAAGTGCCGTAGGGACTGTCTCCTTTATGCTCCATCTCCACGGAGGCTTGGAGAGGAGCAGCAGCTAAAATCCAGATGGGTTTTCTTCTGCTCGGGGCTGCTTGGAGATTTGTGCATTGGAGGATGAAGCCTTAGGTGTTTCTGTTTGCAAGAGAACAGACTCTTGCTGGTTCCTACCCCAAGAGATGCCAGTGCAGTGGAAACAGCCCAGGGTCTGGTGCCTCGCAGTACCGGAGGAAAATCCCGGTTATAAATAGTGAATGCTTAGTGTAATGTAATCATGGCTTCTGTGTGTCAGATACTTAATGTGTCTCAGGCAGGGCTAAGTTTTAGCTAGTACCAACAGGTATATTTGTAGCGGTTGCTAAAAAAGCAAAAAGCCTCCATACCTTCCCTAAATAGTCCCTCTCTGCTCCCATCTCCCAGCCTTTTGGACCTCTTGGTGACGCAGTCGTCACGGGGGGACATGCATCGCTCAGTGGGACCTGGTTCCAGCCCTGGTCCTCAGGCAGCATCCTGCCGCCTGTGCTGCTGGTGCTGGGCAGCTGGCGAGGGCCTTAGGGGACTGTCCACCCAGCTCCTTTGGGAGGACATGCCATGTTACAGATGCAGGGGCAGGCTCAGAGAGGCGCAGTGATTTATGTAAGACACACAGGAGATAATGCTGGAGTCAAGGCCGGTCTCTGCCTTCCTCGGGAGACCTCTGAGAGGCTTTAGAATGGAGTGGGGGAGCACAGGGAGGGAACATAGCGCAGGAAGCCAGTGGCTTCCCAGTGGTCTGGCCTCCCTAGGAAAATGACGGGGGGGAGGGGGGGCAGCAAAACTTGCTGGAATGGGGTTTGTTCTCATCTTTTTTTGTTCTTATCTAGAGTCCTAATCTAGATAAATGTGCTCCTTGCCCTGCACAATGCCTGATGGGGGCAGGTGTCTCTGCAATCTCATCCCCCCTCCCACTCCCGGTCCCCAGAAAATGACAAGTCACGGACCCACCTTCCATTTCCGGAGACCTGTAATGAAGCCAGGGGAGACTAACGCGCAAAGTGGGTCACTGAGCAGCTCAGGGCTTGTGAACTGGGAAGCCCCACCCCAGAACCGGTGAGCCAGGGCCACACTGTAAAAGCTGCCGGTGTCATTTACACGCACATGGAGGTCTGAAAAGTGCAAGAATGGTGATCCTGCAAGGCTGAATGCGAGGACGATGACAATGATGAAGATGATGATGATGATGATGATGATGATGATGATGATGATGATGGCTTGATGCACTCAGAGACCCTGGAGGGGGACCCAACAAAGCTTCCCAGGCCAGGTGGCAAGTGAGCAGAGCCTTGCCTGGCGGATGGATTTTCAGTAGGCAGAAAAACAAGGACGAGTGTTCAAGACAGGAGCTCCAGGACTAGAGGGTGGCTGAGAGGGAAAAGTGCTTGTCTTGTGAGCAAGCGTGAGGACATGAGTGTGATTCCTCAGAACCCACATTTGAAAAGAGCCAATGATGGTGACCTATGTTTGTAATCCCAGAGTTGGGGGGCTAGAACAAAGAGATCCCTGGGGCTTGCTGGTCAGCCATGGTCTCAAAAATAAAGTAAAACCACCATGGATGACACCTAAGGATGTCTTTTGACACCTTCTTCCACAAGCCTTGACATGTGCACAGACACACACACACACACACACACACACACACACACACACACACACACACGGGCATATACATGAACACACAGTTAGAGCTGCAGGGCTAAGCAAGCTGCTGTCCCAGACTTCATTTTAAAGGCAACAGGAACTATGGGAGTTTTTTGAGAAGGGGTAGGGTGGGGTAGTGGTTATCATCTAAAGCTGATGGTTTTGGGGGCCTAGGGAAGGTAGATTGTGGGGGGCAGACAGGGTAGGGTGAATCCCAGGTGAAGAGTTCATGGAGGGTGTAAAGCTCAGATGGGCACAGGCATAGCTCCTGGGCCTCTCCGTGTTCACTTGAGGGAGAGATGTGCTTAGGAACAGCCCCCCACGGGACTCTGGGGGGGCAGTGTCAGAGAAGAGCCTCCACCTTCTCCAGTATCCACCCCACCTTCCTCCTACCTCCTCAGATCCACTCTGATTCTGATGAAGGCGATGGGACCATCAAGTACACCATCTCTGGCGAGGGTGCGGGGACCATCTTCCTGATTGATGAGCTGACAGGTGACATCCATGCCACCGAGCGCCTGGACCGGGAGCAGAAAACCTTCTACACCCTCCGGGCTCAAGCCAGGGATCGCGCCACCAACCGCCTGCTGGAGCCCGAATCGGAGTTCATCATCAAAGTGCAGGACATCAACGACAGTGAGCCGCGCTTCCTACACGGTCCCTACATTGGCAGTGTGGCTGAGCTGTCACCTACAGGTGGGCTGGGGGGATGGGTGAGGCCTGGGGAGGGAGGTGGATGCTCCAAGCATGAGCTGACTGGGAGGGACAGGAGAGACAGAGTGGCCATCCCTAGGGCACAGAAGACAGACAGGAGCAGGGCACATTCCCAATGACATAGCTGGGCGAAGCCCACACTTGACCTCAGCTGCATCCGTACCCCCAGGCCCCATGTGGACACGGCCTGTCTGTGGACTCAGGGACAGCTGAATGCTCAGGTACAGCTGCACACCCAAACCCAGTTGTGCATGCGAGCTCAGCTAGGCACGTGCACACTGTATGCTCAGAGGCACAACCCCACGTGCCAGCCTTGTTTGACATGGTCGCAGCTCTCCCTCAGAGTCCAGCTGCACACAGACGCAGCCCCTACACAACGGCTGGATTTTCTCCAGCCTAAAATGGCAACAGCCAGGCCAGCACAGATCCCAGCACGGTCTCACACCTGCACATAGCCACCCACCACAGGCACAGGAAACAGCCCCCAAGCAAAGCAAGCTATGGGACAAGCTCAGCCACCACCATGAACACAGGGGTAACCTCAGCAGGTGTCACCTTGCTAGGGCACCATCTAGGTGTAGCCAGGGACACATCTGGGTGTAGTTTGGGACAGCCTCATTCATTTAATTGGGATGCCCCAGCTTAGAGGCCCTGCTGCCTGGGTACTCCAGTCCACATGAGGCACCAAGAGAATCAATTACACTTTGCTGAGTGTGGCTGCAAACACCCAGGGGCACTATACACACCCAACCTGTGTGGGTAACAAAAGGAAACACACAACTGCCTGTAGATGTGAGACAGCCCTGTTCAGAACACATCTGAATGGAACAATGTGCCCAGACTAAACACAGCATGCCTCTGCCCCACCTGCTCATGGGTGGGATCTCAGACAGCCCTCTGAACACCAAGGTTCCACTTAGCCCAGGCTCCTAAGTCTCTCGTGGACACTGATGAGTCAGGGGTTGTGGGTCTCAAGCTGCCACCCCTTCCTCACCATATTAGCCAAAGAGGTCTGCTAGGCAGGCAGGCAGAGAGCAGCATCCTAGGTCCTAGGCTATCGTCTCCTGGAGATGCAAGCTAGCTTGACCTTTCTCTGGCTCTCCCACCCTTTGGCTACACATCAGAAGCTGAAACACTTAGGTATTTGAGGGAGGGCCTATCAACCCGGTGTATCCAGGTTGGGCCAAATTTGGCTCAATAAGCAGATCACTGGTATTCAAAGGAGAATGCGGACCAGAGAAAATGCGGCAGGGGGTGGGGAGGGGGCGGCACCAAGAAATAGTGGGAAAATAGAGCAGAAGAGGAGTGAGCTCTGCATATACACAGGTACATGTGTGTGTGTGTGATGTGTACATGCTTGCTAACTGAGTGATGTACCAAAATGCGTGCGTTCCTATGACCGTCCATGCATTTGTTGACATATAGTATTCATTTAAAAGAAATTTGCTGAGTACCTACTGTGTGCTTGCCATGGCATGGGAAATAGACAAGAGTCCATATATACACAAATAGCATGTTCTGGCTAGAGATGACAGGCACTAATAAGCAGAAGAATGACTGGTACAGTGAAGCCTCCCAGAGGTGATGCTGAAGCAGTGAAGTGAGAAGATAGACATTGTGGGAGATGAGCTGAGCACAGAGAGCAGAATGTGCAAAGGCCCTGGGGTCATGTTCCCTGAGTATCACGCAGCCATCTAGATAATAGTTACGGCTGGACCTTTGATTCTGCACATGCTAGGCGGGCCATGATGGGTCCCCTTCTGAAGAATGACAGGGTCTGGCTTACCTTTAACATGATCTCATGGCTGTCCCAGGGAGAAGTGACAGGCATGGGGAGGGCAAAGCCAGGAGCTGGTTGCTCTAAATGGGGATGCTGTAGTTATCAAGATGAGACCTGGCAGTGGCTCCACTCAAGGTGGCACTGGAAGGGATGAAATGAGGTCACTGGTGGATGGTGTTTTGAAAGCTAGGCTGAAGGCGTTTGCTAATGGATTGGATGTAAGAGGGAGAACTCGAGGCTTACGTTTGGGATTTTGACCTGAGTGGTGAACTTGATGGAATTTCCATTTCCTGAGCTGGAAGAACAGCTCTGGGAGATGAAAGGAAAGTGGGAGTTAGGTTTCTGGTGTGCTCGGATGGAAGGACTCGTCCAGAAGCACAGCAAAGACGCTTAAACTGCCAGTCGAATAAACCGATTCACCGGGGAGCTCTGGGCTGGGAAAATACCCAGGAGGTTGGCAGTGGCAAAGACCCAGGACTTTCCAGAGTTGCCAAGAGCTTGGACATGAACTGTGGAAATGGAGAAACTGGGGCTCAGAGAGCGGTGACACGTCCAAGGTCACCAGCAAGCCAGAGGCGGCAGCTCAAATCCCTGACTTCCCGGGCCCAGCAGCCCTCCCTGTTAAATTATAGGTCCAAGAGGACATGGTCTTGTCTACCTTTTCCCAAAACTGACTTGTGGTTTGTTTTTTGTTAAAAACATATATATATATATATATCATGTGCAGGTGCATGCAAGCCATGGGTATGTGTGGAGGTCATCATTTGGGGAGTTTGTTCTTTCCTTTCACTGTGCTTCTAAGGATTGAGCTCAGGTGGGCAGACCCGATGACAAGCATCTTTATCATCTGCTGCACCTTTACTGGCTCAGTCTTCCACCTTGCCTTGAGGCAGGCTCTCTCCTGTTTCTACTGCTGTGCTGTGTACTCCCGGCTAGCTGGCCCTGAGCTGCTGGCCGACTCTCCTGTCCTCGTCTCCCATCTTGCTGTAGAAGTGCTTGGGTTCCAGCTGTCTGCCATCACATCCTGCCTTTATGTTGGTCCAGGACTTCAATCCAGGTCACCAGGCTTGCCTGCCCTGTACTTTCACCTGCTCAGCCGGCTCTCTGACTTGCACGCTCATGCACAGAAGACCAGAAAGCTAAAGAGAGCTGATGCCATACAGCTAAGTGACTTTCAGGGGAGCCATAGGAGAGTCCTGTCTGCCATACTGCAGAGAAGGGCTGGGGCTGGGGCAGGCAGAAGAAGCAGGCCACCTTTGCCATGCTGGCTCTGCCGTCCCCACCTCACCCTCACCTGACTAACTAGCATGCCAGGTCTGTGTCAGCCCCCCACTGAACAGATGGGAGCCCCAGGACCCAGAGGGAAGAGAAGGTACATTGGGTTCTGTAGCCAGTGAGTACTGCCGCTGATCCCTCCCTGCCTTGGGCTTCCAGGCTGTCGGAGAGAGGAGGGTCTTGCTTCACAGACGGGGAGACTGAACTCAGAAGAAGGACAAGAGTGCATCTCAGGTCCCACAGAGTGTAGGAGGCACTGGCCTGAGTCCCAGCCTGAACTCACATAGCACTCAGAAGAAAGGGTGACTCACCCCGGACAAGCTGGGGAACCGAGGAGGGGGCGGGAAAAGGCAGAAATTAAATTAGTTGGTTTATTTGAGTAACTTTTTGAAGAAGTGGATCCGGGCAGTGGGTGCTCACGGAGACTCCAGGCGGCTTTGAAAATCAGTCACAATTAACTGAGCCTCCTGATCCGGGCTGAGCAGGGCGGGGCCAACAAGCGGCAGCAGCGGATCGGGCAGCTTCTGAGATCAGAGGGAGCAGGGACGCAGCTTGCGACATGAAAGGCAGCTGTGCTCGCAAATTAAACCACTCAGAGCTTAAAAGAGAAGGGAAGTGCGCCGGGGGCCAGTGAACCACACTTCTGAGGAGGGGCATGCCAGCCCACGCTGGGGCCGGTGCAGCGAAGCAAGTCCTCAGCGGTTGGCAGGCCTGGTACCCCGTGACCTTGAGCAAGCCCCTGTCCTCCTCCTGAGGTCAGAGTTACCTGCCGAGCATTGGGGGCAGGGGTCCTTCATACCACAGGCACATACCAGGCACTGTGTCTTGCACTGAGGATCGCCAGAAGGTCACACAGGGGCTAAGGGAGTGAACAGGACTGGCTAGAATTTGGTAGAAATTCTTCTCCTTTTTAGATGTATGCTGGGGGGTCTATGTACCATGTGTGCACGTTCGAGAGTGTGAGTGTGCTCTGTGTGTGACAGAGAGCATGGGCGCAGGTCAGAGGGCATCCTCCAGTGCTGGTCTTTGCCATCCAGCTTGTCTTTTGTTTGCCACTGTATGACCAGGCTAGCTGGTTTGTGAGCTTCTGGTGAGTCTCCTGCCTCCGTTCCCCATTTCGCTATGGGAGCACAGGGACTACAAATGTGCACTATCTCGTCCAGCTTCATATGGGTCTGGGGATTAGAACTCAGGTCCTCACATTTGAACAGCAGGCGCCTCAACCACAGAGCCAGCTCCCCAGCCCCGGAAATTCTTTTTATGAGAGTGTTGAATCACGCACTGAAGGAAGGGAACTGCATGAATGAAGCAGGGTTTTTCACCTCTTGTGTGTACCCTAATTACCTAGAGAGCTAGTTAACACAGACTGCCACATCCATCCCCCCGGGGCTCCTTTCTTTCTTCTCTCTCTGCAGTGCTGAGGATCAAACTCAACTCATGCACGCTAGGTAAGCACTCTACCACGGAGCTCCACCCCAGCCACACCCCCAGGGTTTCCCATCCAGCAAGCCTGACTGTTAGAAATGAAAACAAATTCCCAGGAGCTGCTGCTGGGTTGGGTACCTCGCTTGAACTGCCACCACATTCAAAGAACCTTGTAGGCACAGGGCGCTATGGGTGCAAAGACCCTGGGACACATTGTGTTCAAGGATTCCTGGAAGAAGAGACAGGGAGGCGGCGCGGCGGACAGTGCTTGGGTACCTCAGAAAAGCGTCATAAGATGAAGTACATAGGACTTTGTGGCTGCTGCAAGGTTTTCAGCGGGAGCAGGGACGCAGATGGGGACAGAGATGTGGTGACATGACCCAGTGCATATTTTAAAAAGAATGATCTGGCTATTTGTTAATAGACCACAGAGGCAAGGATGGAGAGGGAGGTTAGCAAGGGCTCCGGCTGGGCAGGTGAGAGGTGATGGCAAGGGTGGTGA